GTTTCGATGGTTTTACCGAACCACCATCCTCAGCTGCAAAACCGCAATGAACAAGATAGGAAAAAATGATTAGATAAGATAAGAAAGCCTGGACAAGAATAAGCAGTGGCGCCATCTGTTGGTGAACCAGAACTAAAACATAATTTCTTAAAGGCCGAAGGCAAATTTGGATTGGAATTAGGATCGTTAACTAGAACAGAAAGATTTTTATGAATGTGAAATGGCCTCTAGAAAATCCAGTTCTCCAATGGAAGATGTTTTTTGATAATTTTGGCAGCAGAAAAATTGAAAGTGTGATTTCGGACCAACAGTGTTGCGCAACAGAAAGACTTCTGTGTTTCCTTTTTTCTAACATATTCCTCATGTTCCTTGACGCGAAATTTTAGGCCTCTTATTTGGCCAATGTAAATTAAAACCACACTAGCAGGAATCCTATAAATCCCAGGAATTCATATCCGGAATGGGTCCTTAAGTATAACTCGGAATTTTATTGATGGGAGAATAAACAACCCTAAAGTTAAATTCTGCAAAATATGTGCAACTTTATAGCTAATTGAGGGAAAGAGGATGACAACAGAATTTTTTAATCTCCTAAAACAAGAGTGTGCCTTTTAGTGTGTTGTGGTGATAATTTTTTAACTGCTTGATTAATAATGTTGGGTGAAAAGCCCCTGTCAATAGCTATTGCTTTTAAATAATTAGTTCTTCATCAAGGGCTTGTTTGGAGGAGCAACTTGAAGGCACGGAAAACATAGGAATAAAATGAAGCTAACTTTTTGTTTAGTCGGATGACATGAGTAAAGCGTGGTGGAGGCAAACCGATGAAGGTTTTACCGTAAACTGAAGTACTGAAGTTGGATGTGTTCGTGTGACCAGAATGTCGAAAACGGAAGAGAATTGCAAGTCTCAAGTTCAAAAGTGAACTGAATAGCAGGATCAATAGAATTCATTGTTGAAAGAACTTTATTTAATCATCTTTATTTACCTTCAAACAGGGTAAAGTATCGTCTACGTAGCGGAACCATGTCGGGAAGTTTAAAGTTTCAACAATTTTGATTCATATAACGCATGTATATCAGCCAGGATGGGACTGAGGGGGTTTCCCATGGTAATCCCTCAGTTTGCTTGTAATATTTATTTTGGAAAACAAAATGTGTTTTGTTTCAAAGAGTTGAGTGAGAGAAATTAGCTCATCAATTTCGATGCAAGAGAATGAATTCGCGAAGTCTGGTTTCTAAAACATCTTAATTCTTTTTCTTTTATGCACCCTCCACCGGGACATTGGTGAATAATGATTTTACATCAAAGAAACCATGAGTAATTACTAGAGAAATGTTTTTTAACCTTTTTTACACAAACTCTATTGAATTTCTTTATGGTGTAAATGTTATTGTCTTAGAGAGTGGAAAATCTAGAAACCAAATATTTAGCTAATGGATACGAAGCAGTACCAAAATTGAACATGAACTCTATAAGCTTCATCTGGAACTCGCTAAATTATATCCAAAATTCACTGCCCTTGAACAAAAGTCTTGGTCTAGAACGGAGAATGCAGTTAACCGTCATAAAAACACCCTTGCAGTTAAATTCGAAAAACTCCTTTTACAGTCTTCCAGTTCAAGTAGTTCAAAAAATCTTCCCATTGTAAACATCAAGCCAATAGTTATATTTCTATGTTGTCTTTCAGAAAAAGGAGAGAATTCTAAAATATAATTTTAACTTCTCACAAACCTGTAAACCCTCGATTCCAAGATTTTGGCTCCTATCGAAAAAGCTTTCAAGTTCAGTAAAGTTTAGATTCACAGAAAAAAATGATTAGGCATCTTATCGCTCATAATGTGAAATTCATAATAAACCTTGAAACCAAATCTAACTGCTAGAGAAAGAGCTACAATGCGAATCATTCTAACCCGGATATTATCATTTCAAGGCCGACAAAGTGGCCAATATCGTCATGGATAAGAACACTTACTCGATGGTGTCACAACTCTTAAACGAAGGACCATATAATCCGATCCCTAAAGATCCATCACCTTCCGACTTGTCAAAAATAAAACTAACTGCAGCGATCAAATTCGCAAATCATTTCAAGCAACTTAAAACATTCGCTTACCCCATCTGCTGCGAATTGTGCCAGTTATATGCTCTTCCCAAAATTCATAAAGTGGTATTCCTTTCCGCCCTATTGTATCAAATTTAGGTACTGCTTCGTATCCATTACTAAATATTTGGTTTCTAGATTTTCCACTCTCTTAGACAATAACATTTACACCATAAAAACTCAATAGAGTTTGTAAAAAAGGGTTTAAAAACATTTCTCCTAGTGATTTACTCATGGTTTCTTTTGATGTAAATCATTATTCACCAATGTCCCCGGTGGAGGGTGCATTAAGATGTCTAGAAACCAGACTTCGCGAATTTCATTTCTCTTGCATCGAAATTGATGAACTAATTTCTCTCACTCAACTCTGTTTGAAACAAACACATTTTGTTTTCCAAAATAAATATTACAAGCAACTGAGGGATTAGCCATGGGAACCCCCTCAGTCCTCCTGGCTGATATCTACATGCATTATTATGAATCAAAATTGTTTTGAAACTTTAAACTTCCCGGCATGTTCCGCTACGTAGACGATACTTTTTACCCTGTTTGAAGGTAATAAATGATTTTAAATAAAGTTCTTTCAACAATGAATTCTATTGATATCCTGCTATTCAGTTCACTTTTGAACTTGAGACTTGCAATTCTCTTCCTTTTCTGGACATTCTGGTCACACGTAAACACATCCAACTTCAGTAACTACAGTTTTACCGTAAACCTTCATCGGTTTGCCTTCCACCACACTTTAATCATGTCATCCGACTTAAAAAAAAAGTTAGCTTTCATTTTATTCCTATGTTTTCCGTGCTCTTCAAGTTTGCTCCTGCAAACTAGCCCTTGATGAAGAACTAAATTATTTAAAAGCAATAGCTATTGACAGGGGCTTTTTCACCCAACATTATTAATCAAGCAGTTAAAAAATTTCATCACAACACACTAAAGGCACACTCTTGTTTTAGGAGATTATAAAAATTCTGTTGTCATTCCCTTCTTTCCCTCAATTAGCTATAAAGTTGCACATATTTTGCAGAAATTTAACTTTCGGGTTGTTTATTCTCCCATCAATAAAATTCCGAGTTCCATACTTAAGGACCCCATTCCGGATATGAATTCCTGGGGTATTTATAGGATTCCTTGCCATTGTGGTTTAATTTACATTGGCCAAACTAAAGAGCCTTAAAATTTCGCGTCAAGGAACATGAGGCATTGGTTAGAAAAAAGGGAAACACAGAAGTTTCTGTTGCGCAACATGTTGGTCCGAAAATCACACTTTCAATTTTTTCTGCTGCCAAATTATTCAAAAAAACATCTTCCATTGGAGAACTGAATTTTCTAGAGCATTTCACATTCAAAAAATCTTTCTGTTCTAGTTAACGATCCTAATTCCAATCCAAATTTGCCTTCGGCCTTTAAAGAAATTATGTTTTAGTTCTGGTTTCACCAACAGATGGCGCCACTTGCTTATTCTTGTCCAGGCTTTCTTATCTTATCTAATCATTTTTTCCTATCTTGTTCATTTGCGGTTTTGCAGCTGAGGATGGTGGTTCGGTAAAACCATCGAAACTAGTCCTGTGGAAATTTTGTAAATATAACGCTGATTTTTGTTGGTATCTGTATGCGACTATCGTTAATAAATTGCTGTGAAATTTATATTATCATCTTTCATTAAAGACCTATTCCACAATAGCAACCCATAAGAAATTCAGATCGATATTCATTAAACTGATTAATTTTTTATTCAGTGTAACGATGTATAATTGAAAAGTTAAGTCGAATTTTCAAAGAATTTACTTACGAGCAATTAAGAAAAAAAAAGAAAGAGAATAGTATTCAAATATTTAATTGCTTCTACATAGATTCGGCCCTTTTGAGTGTGAGGCTATAATTACACTCATAGAATGAATAGACTGTGTATTGAGTTCCTTTCATCAGTTCCGAGCAAATACTACCTTTTCAAAACTGCTAATACGCAACAAGTTTTTTAATGCTGTTTCGTGCATAGCTCTTCAAAGTTTCGCGGTGTTCATGTGGTCTTTAAAACACTTGCCACTGAAAAATTACATATTAAATGTCTAATAACTGTGTAAAAATAAATATCCCTTCTAAAAAAATTCAGTTATATTCAATAAACGAAATGAATCATCAAGCATGCCATATGAAACTGTTCAAAGACTACAGCTTGGACAAAATGGTCAAGGAGATTGATAGGATAAGAGAAGATAATGACAGTATTCGATATGAGTTTATGTGGGAGATATCAAATTTTATTTCGCGGCTTTTTCTGCATTTTTAAAAAAAAATTGTAACAGATAACACGAAGTGGCAAATAAAAAGTTAGCCCATTTATATATGATATATTGAATCCTAACTTACTACGATATCTAGAAAAAGCATTTGAATATATCAAGAAATTAAATGCAAATGCTGAGATTGCTTGACAAAAAGATGTTGAGTCAATAAGTTTTTGCTGCTCCTGAAGAACTTTATTTTAGCAGAAAATTTTTACTGTATCACACTTACAATTCGCGTTACTTTCTTCCTAAACGATTTTTAGCTTCGGTTAAGCTAGCTTGCTTAGGTAAATTCTTCTCTTTGAGTTTTCTGAGTTTAAACAGTAGGAAGGACGGCTTTTGGTAGCTATGGTCCAGTGAAATTTAGGCCAGGAAATCAGAACCTTGGATAAGCCCACCTTGAGAACGGTCCTCGAATCAACTTAAGAACATAAATCTGAGAATTACTTGTCTTAATTTTATTGTCAAAGATAGCAGTTATAAAAAATGGAAATTTTCTTCTTAATATAATATACATTTATTTTTCTTTTGTATGAGTGCTTATTGCTAGTAATATTAATTTATGTACATTTCTACATGGTATTTAACACATTCTTAATTTCTTGCAGAGTCTGCTTTGGGGAATAACTGCGATCAACAAAGGGTCCGGTTCAGTTTCGACCTACGGCAACTACCACAGAACGAAGAAATTTTAGCCGCCGAACTAGTCGTCTATCGTGAAGAATTCCCACACTCGGGTAAACCACCCATTAACAGGATACAGGTACATGATGTGATTCGTCCTGCAACCCATAAAACGAACTCAATCCAGAGGTTGCTCGATACTAAAGTTTTCAGGAGCTCAAAAAATGGAAGTTGGGAGAGGTTTGATGTCCTTCCCGCCATTCAAAGGTGGCGTTCCGAACCAACAGAAAATTATGGACTATTTGTTGAGTTAGTAAGTTCATTAAATGCGACCAAGCCTCAGAATGTGAGACTAAGGCGTTCCATTGGAGAGGACCACGAACATTGGTCGAAATTTGAACCTTTACTGGTCATTTATACCAGAGATCCAGATGCATTAGCTGCCCCATTTTCCAGGACTAAACGCAGTACACGTAAGCATAGGCGGAAAGGCCGTAAAGATAACTGCCGTCGACATGCGTTGTACGTGGATTTCAGCGATGTCGGTTGGAACGATTGGATTATAGCACCACCTGGGTACAATGCATATTACTGCCATGGGGATTGTCCTTTTCCTTTGCCAGATCATTTGAATTCCACTAATCATGCCATTGTGCAGACACTGGTAAATTCAGCTAATCCAGCGGCAGTTCCTCGTCCTTGCTGCGTGCCGACAGAATTGTCTCCCATATCCATGCTTTACAGAGACAAGTATGAAAATGTAGTTCTGAAAAACTATCAAGATATGGTTGTAGAAGGATGTGGTTGTCGCTGAAACCAGCTATCTGGTGCTCCGGCGGAGTATGATAATTATTCAAAAATAATTCCTCATCAAGCCTTGAATGGCGAATATAGGCAGCTTGAACCCGACTTGTGGTCTTCCATGCTGTAGCACTCCGAACGTGTCATTTGCAAACGAATTTCTGAGAAGATAGTGTTATAGGCAAGACGAGTCATTATATTTTTTGATGAAGAAAGGTTCATGGGCATTTGATTTTCATGCCCAGAGCATGAGATCTTACTATTTTATAATAATCTGTATAAGCCGCACTTTTGATATTCATGCATTATTAAGTTTTCGCTTTTATAAGCAAAGTATATTCTTTGCCTGACTTTTTTATAATCTTTAATTTACTGTTTTCATGTAATTATTTAAATTTAATTATTATTCCCATCATATCAAAAATTTAATAGTAGATGAAATTTCAATGTAGTAATAATTAACCAAATTTTCACTGTAATATATTAAGAAAATTTAGTAAGAATATTAGGAGATAAACTTAATGCGCTTTAATAAACGTGTGTGTGTGTGTGTGTGATTATGGGAAAGCCTCGAGGGCTATCTGCCTAAGAGGAGGGATGCCTTCGTGGAGGACTTTCTAAGGGAAACTGGCTCGTATACACGTTACACATGGGGAAAACCACGAAAACGCCCATGCAGCCAGCCCGTTCGCAGGATTCGAACCTCGGACCGAACTACCAGTGTTCAGCGACTTTTACCGCTCGGCCGCTGGTGGGCGCTTTAATAAACGAATTTGCTGTTTAGACATTCCAGGTAATTTATGAATGGATCAGCTAACGTTGCATTAAACTAAATTTTAAGTGAAAATCGTTATATATATGTAAAAAGCATTATCTATATATCAACTGAAACATTTTTTTAATTGTGATATGGCAAAGGTAATTCAAATTTAAGTAGAATTAAGCGCCGCATTGACGTTGGTTTTAAAGTATGACTACGCATTTTCAAGGATTTCATGTATCATCTCTTTCAATATGCCTAGCCTTTTTTTTTTTTTTTTTTTCTTCTTTAGAACCAGTTTAGTATCTGAAGTTTACGTTTACCTAATTTTAAAGTAGCAATTGGTATGTTTCTTACCTTCTTGTTAAACATATTCTTATATTTACTCTATTCTTCTGCTTCCAGAAAATTAGCGCATTCGATGAAATACAGTAAAATTTGTCTGAAATTGAATAAAAGTAAACTAAGAAGGGCTGCGAAATTTAAATTAATGAAAACTTTTTAAACAGAAACTCTTCTTTCAGTTTTTTCGGCTGTTGAAGATGAAAATGAAAATTCCCTCTCCCATCCTTCCCAGTTTTATTGCAATTGCCGAAAGATCAGGGGCGTAGCTAGAGGGGGCAAGGGGAGCATCTGTTCCCGGGCGCAGAATCCAAGGGGCGCCAAACTGATGTTACGGCATTTTAGAATTAAATGTTTTCCATCCTTGGCAAGCAGTAAGGGGCGCGAAATCTTCAGTTGTCCCTGGGCGCTGAAAACCTACGATTCTGCGAAAGATGGAAAAATAATCAAATAAAATTATGTGAATAGAAATTTTTCCTCATACTACAGTATAAATAATATTGTCAAATCTTCCTGATCATTCTACTTTGTATGCTCAAACGACTACACGCTTAAACTCAAACGCTTGAGTACTTAAAATATTTGAACTGAATTTCTTTTCGTAAGTTTTTCTGATATGTACCAGATGGGTCAACATTCGCAGAGGCACACTTGTTCTCATTTTCCAAAAGAATGGCTTTGAGAAAAGCTTTAAGTTTGTTTCTCAGATAAAGCTCAAAGCCATTATCTCCGAAACTTAAAGCTTTAGAAATTCATAATTTTTAAAATCAAAAGTCAATCCATTAAATTGTGCTTTGCAATAAGTCATAAGCAAAAGTCATGATTATAAAAAAGAAAAGTGTGATACATAATTTATCTCCTTTTTGAATTCAGCAACCAAAATAACAGAAGAAGCATATACATATCTTAAGGATTTTTCATCGCAGGCTAATGTAGATTAATTAAGTAATGATTTTAGTCAATATTTATGTACCATTTATTCAATATTGATCTCGAAATTTTTTAAGAAACTGCAATTTTCTTTTATGTTAAGAAATTAGCTAATTATTACTTCTTTTGTTTCGAAACTCCAATTTCTTTTCTGTTATATTTAAATTTCCTTTAAATTTTTAATGAAATACCATTACATTTTACAATGCTATGCAAAGTTATGTATGCATATGTCATCACATATACACGTGCGTAATTTTTATGTAAATTCTAATTTCATTTTTAACTAATGACTAATCTTTTTTTGGTATGATAGCAAAAAATATAGATTGTTGCGTAAATTAAAATACATTTCCTATAATCAGTATATGTATCTCGATCATATATCATTAGCAACTAGAATGAAATCATTTTCATCTCATTTATGTATCATTTTTAAAATGTCGGCAATGAATATTTTTATAGACATGTTTCTAGTACCATCTGTCACTGTGAAATGAGTGTTTAGCTACTATTTACGAACTCTATGTTAACGATGTAGTATTGATAAGGCCAGTGATGTTTTATTTTGTGAAGATTCATAGATATGTGAAAATAAAATCGTATATTTTTGTGTTAATATTAAATAAACTATTAATTCACAACCTTTTCAACAGTAATGTGGGGATCATTATATTAATGTGATGTTTCAATGTGTTTTAAGACTAGATTTTGAAAAACTACTTTATCAGTATAAAAGTTAATATTGAAGAAAATTGTGTTTTAATTAATATTAAAAAATTATTATCTGTAAAAAAAAACTTTGTCATAAAAAAAGTTTTTAATTGCATGTTTTAAATATTTATTGATAACAAAAATTATTGCATTAAATCTTTTTTAATAAATGATTTCGCAGTTGTAACAAAAAACTTTCAAATATTCAAAAACCTTTTTTGCTATTATTTCATTTAATACGAGAATTCTGTATTTATGTCATATTTAATTGATACAATAACAGAATGAAATTTCAAGAAATTCTTGTAAACTTTTGAATTCCATAACCTTTCGTTTTTGTATTTCATAAGATATAATTCGATACTTACGTATTATAACAACCACTTTAGTTGAAGTGAACAGATTTTCAGAATGTGCCAGATACTGGCAATCATGATCATAACATGCTTTCAGTAATGCACCATCGCCATTTCTGTATGCTTTTTATTTTGTGGTATTCCGAGTTTTCGTGGTATTTTTTATCATAACACAATTTTTTAATATGCGTTTATGGAATTTTCAAATTTGCCCTTAATGGAAGAACCTGCAATAAACTTTCTGCAGGAAGGCAGTTTTTTTTTTTTTTTTTTTTTTTTTTTTTTTCCCCTTCAGAATCGCTAATGAAAACCGTTTGATAGATAGTCAATGGCAATGCCAAGATTGTGCTCGATGTCGAGTTCATGCAGTTCTTTGATGTTTTTTGAGAGAAAACAAATCGCTGTATACATGAGAAGAAGAAAGGTAAAAAAATTTCGGAAGAATTTAGTAAAATTGTTTATGTATCATATAATTTTAATTAATAATTAAGATTTACACTTTAATTTGCTACAATGTGTTTTCCTCTGATATGTTGGTAGTATTTGCGACTTATAATAAATATCGATTGTTTCGATTTTTTTTTTTTTTTTTTTTTTTTTTTTTTTCAAAGTCGCGAAATTCGTTTGTCTTACTTAGTGTATTTTTACGTTTTTTTCTCATCTTGAAAAAGAAAAAAAAAAATAAAAAAAAAAATAAAAAAAAAAAAAAAAAAAACCGCCAAATTTCGCCAAAGTGTTTGCGTTAATACGTTAGTATCAATAATTCTTATGCAGTTTAGAAACTTTATATATGTATTCTAATGTATCTGATCTAAATAAACATCTAAGTAATTTATTAAAGATGCATTTTGTCTTGTTCCCAAAAAGTGATTATGCATGTAATTATTATATTAAAAAAATATTGTTAAATTTTTACAGATTTTTAATTAGTAAACAGCAAATGCCAAAATTCGAATTCCTTGAATGAAAGAAAATTTGTATTTTATTTGTATTGGCTGAAAAATCGTTTTTTTTAAGCATTTTAAATGTACGAACTTTACATTTTCTACCACGTGCGTTTTAACGATCTAAAGGTTTAAACATATCAGATTATAGTGTTAATAGTGATCGAGGGTGCCAGTTTATATTAAAATCTGTACGTATATGAGATAAATAATAAGTGGAGTCTTTGTTACAATTACAAATGAGAATATCGAAGCTTATGTGAATTCATCAATTCACATATGAGCCCTTACATTCATCTCCCATTTGTAACAAGTTTCTTTAGAAATGGAGTTATTTGATACTTGTTTATGGCAGGCAAATAGAGATACAAATAAAACTTTTCATTTATCAATTAATCCTTTAATATGGGAATAATAAAAGATAATTTAAAAAAACTCAGTGGCCGATCAGCCATTAATGAACCATTGTCTGGAATGCCTTGATTTCTGCGTTCTTGACCTTGGGCCTATGCCCTGGACAAGTGTTTAGCATGTCGCAGAGCCTCCGGTGTTTAGCCCCAAGCGAACTTGGTACTCATTTTATCGACCCACTCAAGGGATGAAAGGCTGAGTCAATCTTGGACAGCCTGGGGATCAAGCCCCGGACCTGTGGTGCCACCGGGCCTCTTTATATGGGAATATCATTAAGAAATTAATTTAAATACAGGGTGCGTCAGAAAAAATGCATGTACACTTTGACCTGTCATAGGAAATTTATTTTCCAGCCTACAAGATTAAATTTCTGAGAAAAAAGTGTACTTTCTGGTTAAACTGAACGTTCCAAATGGTGTTTAAATTAATTATTCAAAATAGTGGCATTTCTGAGTGGCTTCAGCATCGACATTTCTGAGTACGGGGTTACGACTGATTCCGTACTTCACACCAAAGTACCCAATGCCAATTTTCGCGCACACCGCTTGAATCTCATCCCAAAGTGTCTCAAACAAAGTTATGTGGGTTACGACAATACGCCTCATCTTTTACTGTGCCCCCCCCCACACACACACAAAAAAAAAACAAAAAAAAAAACAAAAAAAAAAAAAAAACTAGCAGTGTAAGGTTTGGAAAGCGTGCAGGAAACTCGATTGGTTCCATGGGTACTATCCAATGGCCTGGTACATTTTGTTTCAGGTATGCTCACACATCTCTATGATAGTGCTGAGGAGTGTCATCTTGTTGGTACTTACCGTACATTGCAGAATGGCAGGGAAAATGGAATGAGCAAGCATTGTTAGGTACTTTTCCCCAATTACAGTACCTTCAAAACGGAAAAGCCCACTTAGGAGACAAACCACACCACATATTCCCACCAGGCCAATTCACAACCTTTTCAACAGTAATGTGGGGATCATCTTCAACCCAGTACACACAATTATGCCAGTTGACAGTTCAATTAAGTTTAAATTGTGCTGCATTCGACCAAATAATGCTACTCATAAATTCCGGTTCACCAGTAAATATCTTCTGAACCCATTGACAAAAATTGTACCTGACTATCGCTCAGGACTTTACTA